GGGGGTTGGGTTTCATGTGAGTATGGGTTTAAGGAGAACATTGGAAAGCCGTTGTGTCTTTCGAGGCACGGGTGTTTAGGTCGTGTACGCGCGGTTCAATACCCTCCATCCCTCCTCTGCCCTCGAAAATTTTAAAGTCTGCATATGTATATATACGAGCTCATAATGAACGCACGTACGAACATGCATAAAGTACGCCTGAACACCTCCCCCCCCCCCCCCTACCCCTTATCGAGAAAATTTTCTCATAGTGTCCCGGTTGGTGTTCGCTTCGTTTCTCAAGCGGCTGCATTTTGGCAAAATGTTCTTCAGGACTGCTTTTGTGGCTTTTATGTGCACGTACATATACCTATGCCAATACAGAACCTCGCGGCGACGCCGACGTCAACGACAAAAGTGCGCCTGGAGTGTATAGAACGGTTATCGCAAGATAAATGCAAGCGCTACTTTGGGTTTGTCCGCCTCGGCGGAAAAGTGGTTTCGGTGCACGGCTGCTGGTCCGAAGGTTGCGTGTTTTGTCCCGGGCGCGTTTTGGTGAGCGCGAAACTGCACAGGCCCGTATACTGCGTTGTGTCAGTGCACACTAGATGGTCAGAATTTCCTGAGCCCTCCACTAGGGCGTTTCTTGTAATCATATCGAGGTTTTGAGGCGTAAAACCCCGGATAATATTATCACTATCCTGGGTTGTGACCTTGACAGAGCTCGCGAGACGCTCGATATGTCACTCAAAGGGCTCAGCGCAGCTTGCGTCTTCAGCGAAAGAGGTGTTGCTGCGTAGTATAAAGCTAGCGATAATCCAACGCGATTGGTCTGAACAGCTGCACGCCCTTACAGACTTACGACTTACAGACGCACGCGTCGGAACGCGTCAGCGCATCATATGACACGGCGCCGCGCGAAGGTTCGCGCCCTCACCATAAAGAGAGAGAGGTCCAGGGAAGGAAAATACGCGACTTCTGCAGCCCTAATTGGGAACAGGGCTCAGCGCCTGTAGGGGGCAGGGGAGGCGAAGAGGGCATTGAAGATGTGAAGAAGGAAGAGAAATGGCGTCCATGACCAAGGACGTCGCGGGCGGCTTCTATAGCCGGTTGTCTAGTCCAGTGTCCTCAAGGCAGCAAAGAACCGCCTTGAAGACCTGCAGGTGTGGTGCCGTGCAGGAAAGAGAAGGCCCCTCTGTGTAGCCACGGGCAGACCGTGGGGACGAAGTGCGGCGAGCAAGACGCCGCGTTGTGTGCGAAGCGTTTACTTATGTGGTTATAAAAGGAAAAAGAAGAGAAAAGTGAGCCCCCGTAACCGTCTGAATCTGGTGAGACACCTCAACAGTAGCTCACAAGGGATGCGGGTAAGGAGTGATAAAAGGATAGGATTAAAAGGTATAGATAGATAGATAGATAGATAGAGAGAGAGAGAGGTGCATGAACAGGGAGCGACGGAAGCAAAGAGAAGATAGGAAAGATGAACACGGTCCCAGGAGTGCGAGGACGGGGCACCACTGGCGATGGCTCTTGTCGGCAACAGGCTGGGCGAAACGCACAACAGGTGCTCGATGGCTTCATCTGCCCCGGTAGGTGTTCTGTGAGGGGACGCCATGCCGATGACGCCGGGCCGCAGGCCAGGAGCAGCCGATGCGTAGGCGAAGTAGCAGGGACCTCTCCCTCCTGGTGAAACCCCGGTCAGGCAGCCCGGTTGCACCGTAAGGAGAGCGCATGGTGCCACGTCAGAAAGCCACGCGCTGAGAGAGCATGCATTAAGGCCTGACCACACGTACGCATCGCAGCGCGCCGGAGCGTTGCCTTTTAACGCGACGCCGCTCCGTCTGCACTTGGGGAAAGAGGGCCCGCGGCTACGTGAAGTTGGGCGGCCTCTCTCTCTCTCCATAAGGAGATGGCACGGTGCTGCATAAAAAAAAAAAAAGCAACCCGCTGCGACGGGTAAGTGTGGTCAGCGCGAAGCCACGTCAAGGAGGCGAATCCATAGAAATGACAAGGTGGGCGGGTGTCGGCGCTGACCCACGTTTCGCTGGTAAAATAGTTTTCGATCTGCCCGTCCTCTACTTCATAGTATAGTTCCACTGGATCCTGGGACCTTCCCCCCCCCCCCCCCCCCACACACACACACAGACAGACGGACAGACAGAGAGACAGACACAGATAGAGAGAGATCATGAAGAGTGGCTTTGGTTGCGGTAGAAGTAGAAAAAAAATATACGCTTCTAAAAACTGTTTATTTGTGACGTTTCGATCGGAGACCGAAGGTCTGATGGAGATCGGTCCCTTGTTAAAAAAAAAAGAAAAAAAAAACCATTGATACTCAATTGTGGCAGAGGGGATGACTGCCGTGGTAGAGCATCGAATGCGTTATTCGAAGGTTTGGTTCCTGCTCACAAGTTATCTTTTCACCCACTTTTCTTTCTCCACATTTACATTACCATTCGGTCTAATGACTTCCCCTATACTTTCCTTGGCATTCTTGTCTGTTAGATCTTAATATTGTGTCAAACACGGAAATATTCAATACTTTCTCGGTATATTTAACCTTCAATCTAGTTCTTTTCTTGTTTAGTTTTTTGCCACCGTTGTTGAACAGCGCTGTGTCGCTCGCATTAATCTTTCTTCTCACAAATGATTATTTGCATATGCAGTGAATCAACACAGGAGAAAGGATATAGCGTATCATAACGTGAAAGCGGTTTTCGATACCTGTTATTTTTGATTATTCTGTGAAGTGGGGGTAGCCGTGAAATATTTTATTTTCTTCTAATGAGCATGTGCTTACTAAAAAAAAAAGAAAAGTAAAATGAAAAAAAAAAATATATGCCGTGACCAGGATTCGAACCTGGGTTATTGCGGCCACAACGCAAGGTACTAACCACTATACGATCACGGCTACCCGACCGGGCAGGAGTTTGGGGTGTAATAATGAGTATATAAGCGCACGCATATCTTTTACACGGTTTTATTTCACAGAGTATCTTACAGATTGCTCACTTCTAGGCGGTAACGGCTGCCCGGAAACATGCAGGTCTGGATAAGTTATTCGCCCACTCACTGCACACGGACCAGCCATATTGCGTACTTGGCACCAACGGGTGCGGCGCGCCGATCGCCCTAAAACACCGCGAGCATGCATGTGTCGGTTTACTGCGTAGTGCATGCATGAGGATTGAACGTCAAGACTACGGAAAGTCGTCGCCTTCTACGAGCGTGACTGTGGTTAATTCTCGACAAGACTTGGTTTGTTTTGCTGAACGAATTCGATCCTGAATCGAATATGCCCGCGCGACACCATCCCTTTTCATACGGGCTCATTCGATCGCAATCAAGACCGATCAAAGACGAGCGCGATCTGGCTCTGTGATCGTGAGATTCGGTTGACGTCTGTGTAGGTCAAGAAATCGGGTCCGGATCGGCTCTGATCGCGGTCACTAGCGCCCGTGCGACACCGCCCTTGATCGGTACGGCTTCTTGGGTACGTCAGCTCCGTTTGCGTGTAGCTGCAAATCGCTCTCGTGCCCACCACGCTCTCCCGGAGAGAAAACTAATTGCATATCAGCAACCGAAGTCACGTGACTCGAACGCAAGCGTAACGTTTTGCTTCATATCGCTTCGGTTCGATTACATTGATAGGCGGCCCGCATTACATCGCTTGTTTTCACGCGTCGGTCTGTGTGTGGCGTTCAGGGCGAGGGTAAACTACGCCGTAAGTCTGTATAGTTCGAAAGCGATCAACGTTCCACTTGTGCCACTCTACCAAGTGTCTAGCCGAGGCGAGCCTGCTCGGGCGACTTGCCCTAGAGCTGTGTTGGTGCGATTCCGCGCGAGGTTGTTTTTAAATACTGCACGTCTTGGCGAACTTGTGTAACTTTCTAAGAGTGCTATCTATCTATCTATCTATCTATCTATCTATCTATCTATCTATCTATCTATCTATCTATCTATCTATCTATCTATCTAATGTACTCTTTTCAAATTTGAGGGATGACCTAGCAAACTTGTGCGACATTGAACATATCTGTCTTCGCATGTGCACTTTACGTTGATCGATCTATACCAGAATTGGCATAGCATCACACATCGGCATGATGAACAAGGCAGGTCCGAGCATACAAATCATGACATGCACGCCATGAACATGATATACGCGCCATGTATAACTTGGTGCTCTAGTGGTTGTTTTGTCAACCTTATATTTTTCGGGAAAGCCGCACAAATATTAAAAATTGGTACATCCCTCACGGCTACTGAAGACTTCGTGGGTCCTCACCACCCACATTTTGCGAAAAGACAAGATTTTTCCTACTGGAGAAAAATTATCATACCTATCAGTGGTCAACCTTGATGCAATGATTGGCTTGTAGGAGTTTTTTTTTTTTTCCAGCTTTTTCACAGATGTCTTGAATAGCAGCGTGAAATACAGGTACCGTTGCAAAACACTTCTGTGCATGTTGCACCGTTTCATATTTTACTTTTGTTTGCAGAATTGGCATGTCAGGTTATGTCCATTCTGTGTCAAGCTCAACAATGTGTACCACGAAAAAAAAAAAGCTTTGGGAGGGTTGTACAATGAGAAATGACTTCATAGGGAATGTTGCAGGAGTTAGTCTTGGTCAAGTGTAATTGCTTTCAGCAAGGCTGCTGTGTTCAGACTTGATTCCACTTGTTCAAACATTAGTGTCAGACGTTCTCACTGTTATCCCATCACTCCCAACATCGCATTTTGTGCTATACAAATAGGTGCTCAGTCATTATAGTTCTGGCAACTTTTTTTCTCCGGTCTGCCGTATTGTCAATGATACTTCCTCAAATAACAGTTAAAAGTTAGCACCAGGCTAGTGTCAGTGTCCTTGTTTTGTCAAAGGCATGTTCTTATCTGCGGTTGGAAACAGCACAGCTGTCACATGCTGTCACTGTCAACATACCCGTCAATCTCAAACTTGCTACTGGCTCTGGGTCCACCTATTGGTAGCACGACTGCTGGAGAAATTGAGCCGGGTACAATGCACACGTGTCTATGTACACTTTTATTCACAAGTTTTCTTTCTTTTTTGTACCATGGCATGTCCGTTGAAATGAACATAAAGCAGAAAAAAAAAAAGCACACGGTGATTCTGTACAGGAGGCCATGTGGGCCGTGCTCACAAAAAGGAAAGTTGACGATACAAACTGTGCATAGCTGCAGGCATGAAGAACTACCTGTTGCACTGACATCGGCACAATTCATTTCAGCCAAGAGGCAGTGAGGACCCAATCTACTGAAACGTCTTTTTTTTCCTTTTTCAAAGTCCTTTTTTCAAATCTCTTATTGTCAAGTTTTCGCACTAGCATCATTCTTACAGGACAGGCACTGTCATGGCACGGTGAACTTGGCCAAGCTGCGGAATACACTCGCTGCTCGGCGAGGAGGCAACCCAAGGCACTCGATATAGCTCTCGGCAATCTGATATTTGCCTATACATGCTTTTCCTTTGGGATACCACGCTAGACTTCAGTGAACAGGTACTCTTCATAGTCTTTCAAAGACAACACCAAAACAAAAACCAACAGAATATATTAGGCTTGCCCGCTAATCTATCAACAGCTCTCCGGTAGTATTTACTAAACTCTGCACTGACTACCACTGCAACCAAACAGAAAGCACCACAAATGGGATATGATATGGCAAAAAAAAAAAAAAAAAGCATACATGCCCTCTACCACACCTTTCCCGAGCAGTTGATCGTAACGTAGTTTAACCGGTACGTATACTTACATTATTTACAGAGAACAATATGCCCTCTCTTTGGATAGGTGGCAGGTGGCTGAAGACCCTATTTTTGCATGTGGCAATGCCTACCAGCAGTGGTATATTGTTAAAAAAAAGCTCACAACAAAAGAGTAGCACATTCAGTTCCAATCCATTCAAAGCACGGGCTTTGCTTCACTTTGAAAAAATGTGGCTGTTCCACACTGAACCACGATGCGGGCAACTGCGCTACCCATTCTACAGACAGCAGGCCCTCACGACGACTTATTGTAAGAGACACGCGCAAGTGCAATAAAGAAGCAGAATACTGCTGAGAAACAGCAGCTTGCGTGCCTTCAATGTAGATGAACAGAAAGTAGATTGTTTCCACTTCTGTATGGTTTATGAACCAACGGTTACACAAACAGAAGACCGAGGGTAAGTCTACTGGAAGAACCTGGCCAACATACTGTCAGCTTATGCACCAAGATAACATGCCTTGCTGTTCAATATCCATTGCAGCAAAATATTGTTTCCCAATAAGCGATTCCATTATACCTTATCAGAAAAAATACAACCTCCAAAGGTTTTTTTATCAACACAATTGAATTCTTTACAAGTTTTGCTATATGATCAGGCTATTTTGCACAACTTTCCATGGAACTTAGGCGATCTACAGCCACTTGCATACCTACATAATAATATCGCGTCTGGAATTTTTCGCCCTTGCACTGTAGAAACTGCTACGCTCTCCTCAAGGTGCCACACTTGTAGAGTGCCAATAAAACAAATGCTCACGTCATGTTGTGCTCAATTTGAGTCTTTGGTCACCCTTGATTCTTATCCACCCTCTATTGTACAAGCGCTTTAGCAGACGTTCACATTCATTGGAGAAGCGTCAAGAAGCACACGCGTCTCATTTAATGTCCTTCGGTGCCTGCTCGTTGCTCCTATCGCGGAAAAATCCCGCCTGTGTCCGACACTCGCGCACAGTCACCGTGACCAGGTTGGCAGTCACATCCGTGATGAGTACTTGGTCCACAACTGGACTCTGCTTCTGCCAGAAGTCGGGGATGATGGCAAGCTGGCTGTACTCCGGCTCGGCTACAGCAGGCTCTGTGCTGGCTTCCTTGGGCGGCAGTAGCATGGGAGGAGACGCAGCCTGGCCATTGTGACTGTGCATCGGCTTTCCTTGGGAGACGGCTGATACTGCTGGTTTGCAGACATTCTCGCGGTCACTGCCCGGCTGAGGTGGTGCGCTGTCGCGCCCGTTGAGAACGGGTGTTGCCGACGGCACTGGCTGCTGGGGTGCAACGACACCTGTGACAGGAACGGGGGAGCTGATGGGTACAGCAGTGGGGTGTGTTACAGGACCGACAGAGTTGACAGAATTCGGTGCGGCCTGATGCAGCGATGGCGAACTGGTTGGCAGAACCAGATGCGGTGGCCGCGAGATTCGTGCAACTGTTGCCGGTCCGAGCTGCCCGGTACCCAGTCGGGCGGCTACGGGGGGCACTGCGAGGTGTGAGGCAGGGGGGTGGGTGTGGTGAATGTGTGTTATGCCGGGGCGCGGTGTGATGGGCTTGAAGGCTACCGGCGGCCGCACGGGTGCCCTCACTGGTGGTGAGCCGTTCATGAGCGATGCCACGGTGGTGGAGACGGGAGGCGGCTTGCTGGCTGCACTTATTGTGGGCACCTCCATGGGCCTAGACAACCTTGGCATCTTGCTGGGCGGTTGCTGGGATACGACCGCGGCTTGAATCTGTGGACTAGATGATGTTGGCTTCACATCCAACTTGCGTTTAGTTGTAGTGTCGGGCTTCTTCGAAGCTTCCAGCACCGGTGGGGAAGACAAACACGTCTCAGCCTGGTTCGGCTTGGAAACCGGTGTTGCTGGTTCGCAGCTTTTCTCCAATGATGGCTGACTGGAGGCTGTAGTAACCTGTTTGGACTTTTCTTCCTCCTCTTTTGGGCTCTTAACACTTGCAAGTGTCTTTGGTGGACTGGCTACAGCAACAGCAGGCTTGGCCTTGCTTGATGGCTCTTTAGCTTCGGCTGGCTGCGGCTTCGGCGTCACGGCAGCGGACTGGGGTGCAGGAGCTTGCTGCTGTGGCGGTGTCACAGATTGTGATGTGGACGCCGAAAGGCGCGACGCAGCCGTTGCTGTGGAGCTGTCTTTCTCCTCTGATGCACCAGGTGATAACACTGGTGGAGGACTGTGTGGTGGAGATACGGCGGGGTTTGTCTCAGTGCTTGAGCTGTTGCCGTGAGGTGTCGCTGGTGCATCGTTGGAGGTGTCATCTTCACTTTTGGCCTTGTTGGAGTCGTGCCGCAAGTCCTGCTGTGGCTCGCTAGTGCTCTGAGGAAAAGCAGAAGAAACACAAGCTTAGCAGAGATCTGCAGGAAGTCTAGTGTACACTTACACGAATGACGAGTTAGATAGCAAACACAACTGGCATTAATGACATTGCGCATGTGAGCTATTATTATACTGCAACGCCATAGCATGATCCACTTTTGGTACTATGGTTCATTACAACCAAAAGAATGAATCTAATACCCCACACAGCATAAGTAATGTAATGGGGCACACAGCATTAGTACTGTAATTTCGCAGCGAATGACATTGATGAGTGTTGATTGATTGATATGTGGAGTTTTAACGTCCCAAAACCACCATATGATTACGAGAGACTCCGTAGTGGATGGCTCCGAAAACTTCGACCACCTGGGGTTCTTTAACGTGCACCTAAACCTAACACACGGGCCTACAGCATTTTCCTCTCCAATGAAAATGCAGCCGAGTACCTTAGCCAGTACACCACTGCGACGGGGCACTGATAACGAGTATCATTGCAATTCGCAGACTGCTAAGGTAACTAAAGTTACAAATCGTGCTTAAAATTTACATTTTCTTTTGATTGTTAATGATTCGAAAGTAAAAATTTTCAGACCATTTAAAGATATTCTGCACATATAGACCTATTCCATTTTTGTGTGCCGTCATTATATGTTGGTTTGTTGTAGCGACGCCGCAGCGCGTAGGCTCCGCCCAGCCAGAAGCCCACTATCACCCTCTACGATCCTGTGACAACTGGCGCAGCAGGTGCAAAAGCTGCTTCAGAGCACGGCGCGCCTGGACGCCTTCCACATGTCTACGAGCGGTGGCCGCAACAGAAGCTGCAGTGAGCATATGAGCCACCTGCGGCTCTGGCTTTCAGAACCGCATCAAAACAAGAGGTATCTGAATGGTGATGACATTTCATCGCTGTTGCGGTATTCTATGTCACATGTGTAAATTTTAATTTGTTAATGCAAGAACAACAGACCCAGTTCAGCAAAAAGGGTACGATATGCAAATGCGCAAAGTGAAAGTACGTCGCCACGATTCGTTACGATGAATTTTTGCGTGCAACAAATGTGCTGAAGAAGTTATTCGTGCAAACGACCAGGGCGATCTCGGGGACACTCATCCTCAATACGCTTGCAATAATGCTTCAACTACATGCTGGGGCAATGCGGTTACTTATTATCTGTCAGGTCCGCGGCTCTATTTGTACGCTCAAGTCGAGATCGCAAAATGCGTACAAACCGTAAACAGACGCAGCAAGTTTCGCGACTACAGTTTTCCTGTGAATTCTTACGGATACGAAAACCTCGTGAAACGCGGCACAGCTAAAACAGCTCTGGCGGTATGTCAGCGCAGCCGAGTGTAAACAGGAAAAGCACATTCTGAGTCGGTACTATCATTTGCTGCTCCTTTAATGAACCATGTCCACGCAGAAACACGTGCTTCATGACAGAGTGACACCTTTAGTTCACGCGAGTATTAAGAAATATTTTTGACGTGTCTGAGACTTCTGCAGTTGCATCAACAATGGCAACTGTGAAAAATTCTTCCCATATGGCAATGCTACTCACAGTATTAATGTGCTTTCAGGTAAGCATGCTCGCTATGTTGATATCCACACAGGGCTTATTCCAAAAAATGCGGGGTGGCATAATACAATGACAAATGCTTGACAGAGCTAATTGTTTTTGCTGGGTAAGCCGCTCCAAAACATAGTCGGCGTTGGCCACCATAGTGAAAGAAAGTTTTCTCGCGGCTAATCTTTTTGCGACAGTTTTTGTAAAAAAAAAAAACAAACAGAAAAAATAAAAGGGACCTAGTCCTTCTTTCTTGTGCTTTCCCGCCTGTTAACTGTGACGGCTCGTTGATACACTTTTTTATTCTTTGCACGTCAACAAACAACAGACGCACCAGCGAAAACACAGCAGCAACAACGGTAGGCACGGCTGCAGTCTACTATGCAAAACCAAATGCCAGATGACAAGGCTATGCGATCTCTGAGTATAGATTCTTGCGAAGTGAGAAGGAGTGCCCATGTTCAGAACCCGCTGCATGTCTTACGACCTCTACAAGCGGTCTCGTCAGAAGAAACCTACTCGAAGGCTATGTTTTGTTACTGCGGTCTTCCCGGTAATAGTGCCCCATTTTTCATACGAAAAATTTTCGTCGCTCAAGAATACTGAAAAAAGAAGTGCTCATTCATTCCTGGTATAACATGCAAATGGTGAATGAAATATTGTAACTGTGGTACGTATGCGTAAAGTCTTCATATCTAAAGAAGAAACTATTAGCATGACATTGCCTGAAATTTGATATATAGTCAGCACAGCCACAGCCTCTACAGTGCCGTGGAGGAACCAGCACTGCAGTACTGTATGTGCACGCACAAGCTTTCGTGCCGTATTCTCGTTTGCGCTATGCTTCTTCAATCGTCTGCTTTGTCTTCTGCCTGCCACATGTGTGGCAACTCTCTGGTTTCAAAAGTGAGTGTTATATAAAGGTTTTTCAGTTACAAGCTCCACCTGCAGGTGTCCCTGTCTCACACAAAGAATACTCCATTTACGACTGCATTGGACTACTGTGGCAACATGACAAACCTACACCTAGAGCCTCGTAGAAGAGTTTCTTACACCCCGAGGGCGCGCGAAGCACTATGGGAAAAGTTTGCACGCCGAGAGAGGCAACTGTTCCGGCATGCATGCTGCTCAGTGGCACCATGCGAGCACGAAACGAAAAGAACGCGCCGCCACTTGTCGGGTATTATTAAATCCTGAACACTAGATATGGCTGAACGCACCAGCGTGTATCTTTACACACGAAATGTGAAAGTAATAAGGCAGTCAGCATACGTATCAATGGGTGGATGAGCCAAGCGGCACGCGAGTTGTTCGTACTACGCTATCGAGTACAAATACGTGTAGTCAAAACATGCCGTCGGGAGGGATGCGAGGTAGAACATGGAGTTCATACTTATTCAACGAATAACTGCTCACAAGGCGCTATGGCATACAATACCTTCGCGGCGTGATTGGGCAGTTTAACGGCAAACTACGGCGAAGTGTTACAGGATGATTTCATTTTTATTTCAAGTACACGAACAGCGCAGCCTAAATGTAGTTACAGCGTAACTACGGAGGCAAAAACAAGGACAGGAAAGAGCGTCGACTTTCAACAATGATTTAATAGAGGAGTGGTGTACATATATAAGTGAAGAAAGAATGGGCATGCGTGGAAGGATGCAGTTAACCACTTCGATACAATGTCGGCAAAACTCGTGCCACTTGTTGATTGAGCTGGAAGCCAGTACACAGCTTAAAAATGATCACGATATGCAACAGCACAAACTGATGCCTCTCAGCTGCTCGGCTTGTTCAACAATGGGCAGGTGCAAATAGACAGGCCGTCGCAGCCAATACTGAAGTCAATGAGTGAATCACGCACAAACATATTGCACCTTGCCATCTTCACTTCATCTGAGAGACGCTGGTACGCTGCACACGGAAAGCTAAAGCACGAGGCCTGTGCGCTCGTCGCGATGACATACTAACTTTGCCCATGAGCGCTTGCACACTCATTGGCGGCACTGTGTGCTTGAAAAAGGCGTTTTTAGACAGGTGTTCGCTATACAGGTTTTCTGTCGTAAACTTCAGCTTCCCGACACTTCTCGGCAAAATTATGACATCACTGCCGTGCCATACGTAGTACTTCAAGTAGCACTGTTAACCTCTTATTTTGTAATTAGCTGAGGAAAAGTAGTTATGGTTACAAGAGAAACAACCTAACACGATTCACAGGGCTGAGCTTGTATTTATTGTTGGGTTTTAACAAACTACAGTTGCTTCGACAGGCCACTGCTAACATGGTTCAGACTTTGGTTGCCACTGCCTGGAGGGTGACCAGATTTTGGGGCTACTGCTTTATTCCTCCAGCTACAAATATAGAAAATGCACGGTTCTGCAAATTTGACCTTGAAGCTCAGCCAAGGTCAATGCCTGCACAGGGGTGTGTGGGAATGCCTTGGGTTACCGAGAAGCTTTCACAGCGTGGCACAGGCTTCACCACAGGAAACTAGTATGTTCTGCCGCCGTGTCAGAAGTGGTGCTGTGATCATGCGGTGGCACCCCCTGGCACGCGATAGTGTGTCCAAGAGTAGATTGCGCGGATTGTAGTTACTAATAAGTGTAAATGATGCCCGTCAATTTCTGAACGAGTACAACACAAGGCCTCCACTACGTGGTCTTAGGAAGCAAACCTACAGAGCTCAATGATTTAGAAAACATGGTAATTTGGACGTCTTCTCTGGTCTCTGCAAACATATTTATTGTGTAGTGGCATTTACCCTCCTTTATCTAGTCGCATTTGACCGCAACCTGGTCAATTCGGATGATCCTAGGAGGCGCCATAGTGCCGCAAAGGATCAAAAACTGCGTTTTCAAACAACCTGAACGGCTGCTAGTCTCCAGCTTGGCGCGGTCGTTGTATAAAATTTTACCACAATTGCACTGTTGGTGGCCAAGGCTTCAGCAGCTCTGGCAAAATCGTTTAGTTCCCGCTTTCCTTTGGGGTCTTCAGCCACGGTCATCTTGTGATCTAATTTGTGAGTGACTGAACTTGTGGCTTTTACGCTGCTAATATGTTAAAGGGGGATTGATAAGCACAGACAGGTGTGAAACAAGTACTGCCTATCGCTCTGTCATATTAAAGCAAATTATGAAAATTTTATAAAATTTTGCAAGTTGCTTGAATGGGGATTTCACTATAGGTTTTGTGAATTTGGCAAGAAAATACAATGCCCTTCTAAAAATAGTAAAAATTAAATTTGACTTTTTATTCTTTATGAAATATTTGCAAAAAAGTTGTATGCAAAAGTTATTTCTAGTTAACTCTTCTAGTTATGTACATGTGCCCTGGGTATCTTTCTAAACCAAAATAATAATTGTAGACATGACCATTCTTTTGTTAAAAATATAAATGTTTGGCAACTATAACTTTAGTACTTAAGCTTATGTGAAAGATGCAGTTCTGACGGCAACAGTCTTTTAAAGGCACATGGTATTCAGAAGAAAGTCGCAAAAGATTGCATCGATAGCTTCGGCAGTTTCAGAGAAAATGTTCCCTTTCTGACGAAAAATATTGTTTGGAGAAAACGGCATTTAAAGGTAGAGTTTGTGTGGTGTAGTGGCGAGATCAGGCATGTTTGGGCCATTTTCAAAGGCTTTCCTCTGCACGTAAATACTCATCACTTCGTGGAACCACTTTCCAGTAACGCTGGAATATTGTGCCATGAAAATTGAAAAATTGCATTTTTAGACGTCTTTGCCCCCCATCCCCACTTTAATTAGTGCAGGATTCATGCATTCATCACAAAAATCAATGTAATAGACACTTCATTTTTTCTCAATACCTTTGATAAGTTGACCGCTGGTTAATTCATTTTTTAGTTTCACAAAATCTAAATTAACAAACTCGCTGCATACGCAACTGTATAAATGTTAACCACAGATTAACAAGACTAGACTGCAAGAAAGTCGCATGCTGATGCCACTCGCGACACAACAGGGAAATACCCGAATCCATTCTCTCACATCAACACCGGGTGACATTCAACTGGGGAAATGCACATGCTAGGGCATTGAACACAGCCATAAGCATTTCTTGTATATGGCTGTCCTATTAACCTCACGGACATGTGTTGTCAACTTTCAGCTGACTTTGGCATACTCCATAATGGTTTGCCAATACAGGGTAAAGCTTAACAACACATTGTGTGAGGATATCGTAGTGCAGAGTTTGATCCACGGAGCATTCCGCATACAAGGGGGCTAATAATTGCACTGGCACAATTCTTGTTGCAATTCCCCCATCATTCTCTAACCCCCCCCCCCCCCCCCGGACAAAGATGAGCATGCCTGATGGCCTATTTCAAATATATAAACGGTTGACTGACAATGACACTAAACACCCCACCTATTATTCAGCGCTGCTAACTGGGGGAGGATGGACCGAACTGAGCAGAGACAAAGGAGACAGTTCACGGGTCAAAGTGCTGCGTCCTCCGTAATTCGTGCGCAAACTTGCCCCTAATCAATGATTAACCTAGCCACACAGAGCGCATTCGACTCGAGCCCACGCAAGCACAAACAAACGCTTACAGCACAGATCGCCCAACTGGCAACGCGAGATACTCACGTGACTTCGTTCTTTTTTAGACTTCGGGCCTCGCTTGCCTGGTCCAGAATCTCTCTGACTGAAAGAACAAAAAAAAAAACGAAGTTCTGGTCAGCGTAAATGCAGCGCAACAAAACGCATTGACGTTTAGCAGTGACTCACACGAGCAAAGGGCGGGATCGAAGTCGCATGCTGACGCCACCCGCGACACAACAGGGAAATACCGGAATCAATTCCTTGACGTCAACACGCGGCGACGTTCGACTGGACGTAAGTCCGGCGAATCGACTGTGCGGCCGGTTGCAGAAAAGCGGAATCAACGTTTCAACTCTTCGGCAACGTGGTGGCTCCCCTCACGAACAAATTTGGAAGTCTACACGAGACTACGGCTTTGTCGTGTCAACCGGTAGAACTTGTCACGTGCGTCCGTAGGGATGACACTTCCCTAAACATGGAAGAGTGGCGCTGCGATCGTGGGCAATTTGTCGCGGGAGGTCCGTGGAACGGCCACACAACGGAAGCATTTTCGCGGCCACGCAACAGGCAAAACGGCATCGTCAGGGCATGCAAACGGGCGGGAAGTGATAAGAAGAATGACAACGAGCGGCGACGTAAAAGTGGGTAGTGAGGGGCCGCGGGCAGCAGCCATTTTGAGAGAGATTGGCGCGCGCGACAATCGTAAACAAACAAAAACAGCGAGCTCATGGAAAGAGCCACTGGGAAAGAAGGGAGGCGCGAGGAAGGGAACCGGTCCTGCGGGCGCGGAGGAGAGGTCGGCACCGCCGTCCTCCTCGCCACAGTCGCCCAATGAAATAGCCTCTCACCTGCTCTCGAAGGCTTCCAGCAAACGGCCATCCAGAATGTTTTCCTCGGGCTCCCAGGTGTTGTACCTGCGGTGAAAATGACAGACCGGCGGTGAAAAATCTTAGCGGTCGAAAATAAAGCAGCTTCAGCTTGAACAGGCAACGCCCGAAGGCAAACAGGAAGGGGGCACGAGGGGAGGGGAGCACTGCAGCCGTCACAACGGCGCGAGAAAAACATGGTGGCGCGGCTAGTAAGTTCGCTGCAACAACACGCAGGGCAACGAAAATCCAACATCGCACCGACAGCTCGCAACATTCGCCGGAAGGCGATGCGACGGCGCTTTCACACTCACTTGTGACTCCATCCACGCCACTTCACGTAGTACTCGACACGGCCCTGCAAGAAAAAAAAGAACGATCGCAAGATCAGTACACACGTACGGGGCCCACCATCACGCATCCCGCCCTGCCGAGTCGCGATGCTTGTTCGTTGCCAGCGACAACGCACCTTTCGAATTCGCTTCTTCTGTATGCACTCGGCGGCGAAGACGCGCTCGCCGACCGACGAGAGCTCCATGACTTCGCAGCCGTGCTCGGAACGCGGTGTGCGACGTAGTTCGCTCTGTCGCTCCCGGCTCGCTTTGTGGATGGCTTCGCGCATCCCAGCAGGCACCGCGCTCGTTTTGCTGACGTCACTCGTGACGCTGGCGTAAAAGCAAAACACGAAGAAAAAGACGCGAGACGCGTCTCGCCATCTAGCGGCGCTAGCAAAAACCATCGCTGACAATAAACGTTTTTTTTTTTTCGCGTCGGCTGTTTTGTCTCTGTTGTTACGAAACGCGCTGTACTTGATAGATACACGAAGAATGAAAGAACGATGTTGTTTAACTTTGTAGCGTTGTTCGTCGCCAAGACGTGGTATCGAGAGACCACGAAAGGTCATTCGCTCGATATCGAATGTTCTGGAAAGGTCCATCCTCCTCATCCGGAAGATGAGGAGGATGGCGCAACGTTGTGAGCTGTCGGAGAAACAACTGCGCCGCATTTCGTACGATTTTCGCTCGAGGGCTGCTTGATTTGACGGGGCTACTTTTTCGGACTCTTGATTTTGCGGGCATACATTGGTTATGATTACATTAAGCGAGACACATACATTTCGTTATAATTTTGAGACTACAACATGATGCAGCACGCCGAAAAACTTATTCAGTATTATTATATTTAATTTAAACATGCGGAAGCGTTGGTAACGAAACGCAAGCAATGTTAAGAAGTTATAAATACGCGCTTTACGTGCTAGCATATTAAAACATTGCATAAGAAAAGCAGCATTTCGAAGTTTCGTCAGGTTACAAACACCAGAAACAATATATCACAACCGTGTACGTTATGGAGCTTTATTCGAACTAAGAAAGATTTTTTTTAAGCGCAGATGAAAATTTGTGAATGAAAAATGATTCTGCAGCTCAAAGAAGAGTACCGATTACTGTGTTTTCAGTTTGTCTATTTAACATGAACATGCCCGTGTCATGAAGTTGGTTTTGTAAGCCTACGTGACGTAATCTCGTGTTTACTTATCTAGAGGCCAAAATAAACATAGCCTTCTCAAAGGCCGCTTATATCTGTCTGGCAGGGATACAATGCTTGTTAAGTCTGGCTCCTCCGAAGTAGGTTAATAATTGATCGGTTTAAAACCACCATACCATTATGAGAGACGCCATAGTAGAGGACCCCGGAAATTTCAACCAGCTGGGGTTCTTAAGCCTGCACCTAAACCAAAGAACACATACCTCTGGCGTTTTCGCCTCCACCGAAAATGCATCCGCCCTGACCGGGATTCGTCCCCGCGACCTGCAGACCATCAGTCGGGCACCGTAGCTCGATTTGCGAAGCGTACTTGATTGATTGATTGATTGATTGATATGTGGGGTTTAACGTCCCAAAACCACGAAGCGTACTTGAGGCAAACGATGCCCACGCTTGGCAAGGGCGCGGTACTTTATGTGAAGTAAAAGAGTTCGCAGTTGAACAAACCATGCGTACCTGTAGTACGTTTGTATTGTCTGGCGACATGACGATTTCACAGTGACCGTGATGCAGAGGGCGTCTAATTGCCTACGGAAGACATTTAGCATGAGTTGGTCAATACACGCTTTGTTGTTTTGTTTTGTCTCCTAAAAAAGCTTGGGTCATACCCACATTATTTCTATTGTTTTTTTTTCTATTTACCTGGCAGTGTTGCAATGCCGTTTTGTTGTCTGTTGATGTACAGAAAACCCACTCCCGCAATAGTCCAAATTGAGCTGCAGTATGTACAAATAAATAAAAGAAGGTGATGTTTCTGAACAGTCCTTACTGTTTGGGACTGTAGAACTGAGTAAACGTGAACAATTTTCTTTTTGGCAAAAAAAAAATAAATGTGCTTCTGTTACACTTTATAGAAAAAAGAAAAGCACCGTATTTTTTTTTAGCTTGAGAGACATAACGTCGGGCCATGGCATGCATGACTGTCTCTACATTAAGTGAAATTAATATTTTGTGAAAACTCAAGGGTGGTCTCAGATTCTTTGGAGATACCACATCAGATACAATGCCACGGTGGGGAGGGGTGGGGGGTAGGTTTGAGATTGCCCTAACATTTAGCGGACCATTCTTTTGAAGCATGCCATTTACTAATAATCCTTCCATCTGTCATATGTGATTTCCGCTAGCCTGCTTTCATTCATTATATATAAAAAAAGAGGATGTAAGCAGAAAATAGAAAAAAAGGAGAAATGGGAAAAAATAGAAATAAAGATAAAAAATAGAAGAATGGAAACGAGGGAAAGTGTGAGAGAAGCGAAGAAAGAAAAAACAGAAGAGAAAAAAAAGAGGGCTTCCCCGCCTACTTCACGATAATCTTTTCCACAATTAATATTCGATAAGTAATGCACATATATTTTGAAAAAAAAAAAAGCTTTATAATACAACACATTAGAAATGGCTGGGTCAGGTTAATTCCACAATATGATCTACTAGCACAAGTGCACAGTGATATTCAAAATACCTAAAGACGAGTACATACGCCTTCCTGGAAAACGCAGCACTAGATTGAATCATGATGCCTCCATTGAACCTTTTAGCACTCGCGCTGACATCTTTCGGTGGTCATTTTTTCCCGGACGCTATAGAACAATGGAATTCTTTAGCCCAACATGTTATTACTGGTACCGATGTGCAAACTTTTGACAGAGAAATTGATGCTTATTTTGGTAATGGTTGAAGTACTGCCCATTCTGTTTTCCTGTGTTTATTGCTTAGTGGTGTTCTGTTTGTACTCATATTGTACTCCCTCCCTGTTATGACCCTCAAGCGAGGGTTGACAGTATTATTAAATAAAAAATAAATAAAAATAAACTTTTTATATATATTGCCTAGTCTCCCTTATTTATGTATTTATTTTTGTAATCGTTCAACATTGTGGAAATTATCTACTAAATTTAAAACTACGACATCCGGGTCAATCCCCCAGAGTGGGTTTCGCGCCATATTCTGGAAGGCACAAACAAACAAACAAACGGGCTGTCCAGCTCAGCACTTCCTTCGGGCTCGGAACCACTAGGGCGAAGCTGTCTTTATCCACAAAGCTTCCCCCCCTTTATCCCAAGCGGGAGCATATGGAAGTTCCTGGCAAGAATGGAAACACTGGGAAAACCCGAACAAATGAGGCAACGCTCTTTGCGCATATGGGGCGTAGCATGTATATTCTTCTGTTGCGAATAAAATTGGTTGCGCTCTTTTCCCCTTCCGCTGCTTTCTCCTGCTCAGGTGCTGCTTAGGTGCCTGATTATTTAACGGTGAATCGTACCACCATAAGCGGTTGTGCCGCAGAAATTGGATAAGTCCCACTACCCAGTACTATAGTCCAATAAAAAATTCCGCCATATCCACGAAGTGAATGATGATGAGTGGGCGAAGCTCCGGAGGTAAACCTGGTAAACCATGAATCCTCTGTACATTTTGCCCACTCGATTTTATTGCATCGCTCCCCCTAGCGTACGTCGCCGCACTAAATCGAACGATTGCCTTCAACCAATGACACGCGTCATATGTGACATCATTCATATTTTATAAGATCTCGCGTCTTTCATCAACTACAAGTACCGCTTTCTAGTTTATAACATCTTGCATCTTTTCATCATCAGCTACAAGTACCACCATCTAGTAAACACTACAAGAACTAAACGAGAGGTGGCTACATACAGGGGACGGTACCGCCATCTAGTGAACACTGCAAGAACTAAACTAGAGGTGGCTACATACAGGCTACAGGGGACGCACAGCCCACGCCCTAAGGAGCTTCGCCCCTAAAATGGAGAACGCAACGGTTAATCCACCAACAGATGACACCTGTGACCTTGAGTACGCGTACAACGAAGGAATACTGAACAATGGCAAAGGCTTCGGCACCTGCGAGAAGACCGTGAAGCGACGGACGGTTTACGACGATCACGGCGTGTCCGTGTCGTGTGTGTATGTGTCCGTGATTTAACTATAGAACCTATCTGCGCTGAGAATCAACGTAGAACAAAAAAACCCTGATTCGAAATTGTAGCCTCAAGGAAGACGACGGACGAAAAGGGAGACAAACACACGCACGAATCGTGCAATACCAACATGCCCAGTTGTTCACTTTCACAAAATATCACCTATAGTTAAAGCCTATCGCAACGACCTATAGAAGCAACCGCAACCAGATTAGTTCCGCAGAGTTGATGCTGATGACCTCAGACGGATGGCGCTCACCCACAGAGGTGGATGGGCCAAGAACCGGGTGGCAGGATACTGAAATGAAACTAAAATGAAATTAAAGCCAATCTGTAAAATTAGTTGTGTGATAATACTGCCAATAAAAAAAAATGTTTGCTGAGCAAGCGGTCAAACCATCTCTTGTTCCTGACAGACATTGCTACGAATTACAAACTAAATATCCGGAAAGGTTATAGGGTTCGCTAGCACGGTAATCTTTTAGTTGCGTTGATGTAATCAAACACAGTGGAGCATATATCCCTGTGGCAGTAACCAAATGAAGTGCCGCCAAGTGAGTTGTCCAGTTTCGCTGTTTCAAGGCTTGCGGGCAAACTTCTTCAGCTTCTTTCACAAATTCTATGCTTCAATATTTCCCACGAAATATTTGTTTCTTCGAGAAACCTCTCAGAGGCTGCAATTTTACACGAATAGCCATCTTTGCAGGGGCGGCGCCAGGATGTTTTTACTGGGGGGGGGGGGGGGGCAACCACGAAAAGTGAGTTCCTCCGGGGGGGCAAGCTAGCTCTGCTCCTACTAGGTTTTCAATATATGCTTCCGGGCACTTGGGTGGGCATAGGGGGGGCAGGCGAGAATTTGGGGAAGGGGCTCCAGCCCCCCCTTGCCCCCCCTTCCCCCCTGGCGCCGCCCCTGCATCTTTGTGACATGCTGTCCACCCTTCCCACTTTAAACCTCCTTCTATTGGTATTCAGGTAACCGCTGTTTGCATTTTGTGGGAATTATATAGTGATGTAAAACACGTTGCGATTATATATGCAGATCTAACCAGCATTTATTTATTTATTTATTTATTTATTTATTTATTTATTTATTTGTCTAGTCGTAATGCTAACCTTCTCTCGAGTGTCGTTACAGG